CCCTACACTAAAAGCTTAATTCATGAAGTAGCTTCTAACAACTGCAGTTTACAGCCAGTGTTTTAAACTGACCTTGGTTTTCTCAGAAATGTCTATACTGATGGGTATGTGCTGATACAACTGACCTCTGCCCATGCTTTAAGCCCACTTAACATTTGTGGATTTGAGTCCTAGAAGGATCTGTGGATTTGTATCCTATAATCAGGTTACAATACTTGTGTCTGAACAAGCAAGACCTCTGAAAAGCAAAAGGTTTGAAAAATACCCAGAATTTAGGTCTACATCTATTTTTATCATTCAAACAACTTCTGAAGGCTAATGTGCCCAGATTAGATCACCATGGACAAAAACACAAATACCAAAATCTTGTAACATTCAGTAAGTAAGTTTCGACAGACAGTAAGACATTTCTATAGGGCTGGGAATAACTTCAAGTTCATCACACATTCTCTCTTACTAAGAATAAAAATCCACAGAATGTTCATACACATGCTTGAAGGTTCACATTTGACTCCCTGCTGTTCCTAAGCCTATAATGTGGTGTCTTTACCAGCTGTGAATTTCAGCAAAGTCATTAATAACAATTGACTAAATACAGGCTACAAGTTCACAGGAATTAGAGAATAAGGCATTAGACATTTTGGAAAAGCAAGATAGAAACCAGTTTACAGGGAGATGGAAAGAAAAAAGATCAGATTATACATTAATAAATATTGTTGCTGAACTTTATGGTTTAGAAGCAGAATTTTACAGCTGCTCCTGGAGAATATGACCCCATCTTCATAGAATGCAGTGAACAGTTCCCTGTTCCTCGTTCTTTAAAATTAGATTTCCAACAAGCAGTATTAATACAATCATTTTCTTCCACCAGAAAAACATTACCAGTCTTTTTTTTTTTTGCAATATTTTGTAAGCAAAAGCAATTCTTTCATAATTTCCTTCCCCTTTTAACCCAAGCACAAACAGTTTAAAACAAGATACTTACTGGTGCATTTCTCAAAGTGCCTGTATCTGTATTTACTGTTCCCACAGAAGAACGCTTTTCAAGATACTTCTGTATTAAACATTCAAAAGAGGCAACTGTGTCGCTGGGGTTTATCAGCCATGCTGCAATCCTTGGATCCAACACGACACTATCAGCAACTACAGAAATAAGTTATTTCTGACAATGAATTATTTAAATTACCTCCCATACTGAGAAGTATTAAAGTTTTGCCCATCTTTCCTGTAGACACACATCACAAGTAGACAAGCTTTAACACCATGAAAATGTTAAACATTGAATTTGCAGCTATAACAAATGGTTATTATCATGACTACATAGAAGTTCTATATTGAATATTTTTGAAGAGGGTTTTTTTGTGTTGTTTTTTTTTTTAGGTTTGAGTCCCTCTTCAAGTATTAAAATGTAAGTAAACATTTAGTCTTTAAAAGCCTTTCTTTGTTACCACAGAAAAATTTCAAATTGAAGTTTTTCTTGTGAGTATGTCTCTCTAGTACAGCTTTTTTTGTTGCTGTTAACTTGATTCACATCTACAAAATTGCTATTGAAGGACAGGAGAGAAAATATATACTTCCTACCAATCAGTCTTCTAAAATCTTTAATGCATATATGAATTCACCTATGGGTGCACAATGCATTGTTCTCAAAAACCAGAACCTTCTGTCCTATGGGACTGTATGTGCTTACACTGCGCTTTCTCTCATGTTCACGTAGATGCATAGGATGGAGAAAGTCTAGCGCTGTTTTTTCTCTTTTTAACTATAATCTCAACATATATACTGCAGTACTACAAAGAAGAGGAGAGGGAAACTAGTAACTAGACTGCTTTGTGATATTCCAAGGTAGATCTGAGTATCCTCTTCAATAATCCCCGAATTCAAATAACAGTCCAGAGATACATTACAGAGAACTCCCCTGTGAAATGATACTCAAGTCCTGTCCTACTCTGAAACATTAGTGAATGCCAATGGCAAAGTGTGCCACATTTCACAAGTCAGGGCTAGCGTATCTGTGTGTATTCTACTGGTTACTACACTAGTTTGAGAATGAGTGTAGTAATTCATGTGATTGCAGTCAATATGACATAGGCAGAAATTTCAGTGTTTGCTTGATTTACAGTGATGGGACTTTTTTATCTTAAAAAAAGCAGGGGTTTAGTGTTGGGTTTTTGGGGGTTGTTTTTTGTTTGTTTGTTTTACCATGGCAGAAATAATGGCTAAGGAAGCATCAACTTCCACTGTTTCAAAAAGAACCTAGACAAGAATTCTTTTGGATACTAAAAACTTCAGATTCAAATGGTATCCATCAGATAGGACCTAACCTAGATCTAGAATTTTCTGTGTGTACAGGTTATAAAACTGTCACCAGTGCCAGTACCACTGTATTTCTTCCCCTCCTTGCCATTCCCAGGGCCAAGTGTCTTGTGTAGATGGTCACAGCAGATTCTAATCACCATCATCAGATTATTGTCATTTACCATTCCTGAAAGGTCACACTTACGTTTGCAATTCACTCAGCAGTAATCCAATAGATAGAAACAAGAAAAAAATAAACATTATATTTACATCTTCTATCTTCTGTTTGTAGTTGCTTTTAAATCAATACAAAAGTCTTATTTGTTCCTATCAAAAAAACCAAGGATCCATTCAAGTGATTCCTAATTCTCACAACCATGAACACGTCTGGAATTTATTTTAGCCTCTCCTCTCAAGCAGAGAAACATTTTCTAGGAAACACGAAACACAAAGCTGTTTGACCTTTTCAGCTATAGTCAGGACTGTGTGGAGAGCTTTTGTTTCCACTGGAAGCTATCCTTAAATTATTCAACAACTTGAGAAGAAATACATCATCCTGACATGCCAAGCCTCTGGTCACAACCTCCCCCAAAAACGGTGTTCTTTTCCATGGTACTAAAACTGTGTTTTCCAATATGTTACTTAACCACCAATCTAGTTACTTCTACACCTAGTGATTTTAACAGAAACATCAAAAGCACAGAGATTATAGGATTAGATCATAGATTAGATAGTTACCTTGTTTCCAGCTAATTTCATTACCAAAAACTTGAAGAAGAGTCCTCAGGAAATCTTTTGCATTGAAGCAAATAATTGGAACTTTGCAGTGTAGCATTTGAAACAACACTTGCCTGCACAGAAGTAGTTCATTAACACACACTATATTGCTTCTAGTTTTTGTGAATCTATTTACCTTATACATCCAATTAGCACCTAATGCTAAATAGTTAACATAAGACTTCATTCCTGTAAGAACAGAATATTGTGTTTGAATATTAAATTCTCAGTTCAGTAATACCTGAAGCTTCATTCCACAATAAATTTAACATCCTAGCAGTTATGCCTTATCACACACTCATAAAGAAAACAAATCCTTATTTAACGCTCAAAATTAGGTGCAATCTTAATCCAGAAGAGCAACTGGCATCCTGAATGACCCGAATGAGGTCATAGAGGCTTCTGAGTTAATGTAGTATTGCAAAATCCTGATTTAAAAGTTACTGGACAATCTAAATTGCAGTAATTGCCCAGTGTTAATATGCTATTTAAATCTTGTATGCTTCATCTTTGTCACATTTCCTTCCCTTTTGAAAATGTCTATAGCTTCCACATCCATGCTATTTTAAATAGATTTTTTAAATATACATTAGTATATAGATTTTACCCATTATTTGTGTCATTTTTTAAAATAAGCTCTATTTTGGGCAATACAGAAAAATAGTAATTTTTTATAAAGCTTTCAATTATATTTACCTTTGGTGGTATGAAACCATAGTAGCACGCTTTTGGACATATTATAATGGTGTAGATCATAAGCTATTATTGTATATAGTGCAGATCCATTATTAAACAACTGCACCATTCTTACAACAAATAATTACCTATAGGTTTAATCTAAATGCTAATACACTTATTCAACTTTTCTATTTCTGAATTTTAACTGCTCATATGTACATGCTTTATTGGCATGTTATTCTCAATTCAGAACACCTCATATTCAAACTAACAAGTTATTAAACTAGTTGTCAAGTAACTCCAATACTCCAGCTGGAGAAGTACAGGTCAGTGAAGTGATTTGTCTCAAGTCACAGTGGAGCAGTGGCAGAGACGCAACTAATAACCAAGTCCAACATCTTGAAAAGGAACCCTTTGGGATCTAATAACCCAAATCCAGCAGTTTACAATAAGGCAGTCATTACTGAAATTCATAAAATATACTAATGCAGTTTCAACATGTGTTTATTATATCCAAGAATCAGATTCAGTTCTCACTTCTCCCTTTACGGGATACTATTTCAAAGAAACAGTAAGGAATATAAATGGATTTTGGTTGTACTAACTGGAAATTTAAAACATAATCCAACTTTTTTCAAAATTTAGTCCAACTATTAAACAGATATAGAAAGTGTTTACTTAAAAAAATTATCTTGTAATTTTGATGTAAAATTATTACTAAATATTATGAAAAACTTCATTTGGGATCTCAAAGCCATTAAAAGAGCCTACTGAGCTCAAAAATTAAAAATATTAGCAGAGCTCAAAAAGGATGTTTACTGTAATAACATCCATCAAAAATGTACTAGAGAAGAAATGCAGTTCAGGAAATGGAAGATACGAGAAACAAACCTAGATGAATCATATTTTTGGTGCCATATAGCTGTAAGCTGATCATAAAGGATTTCTAGTTGAATGCCAACGGTTCTTACCAGAATCCCAACCTGGTTCTGCAGAGCTGCAGTCAGTGATATGCTGAGCCTAAAAGAATACCCTATTCTTCTTTGGTTTACATTATCCCAGGCTTGACACAGAACTAATGCAGCTGATACGAAATTCAATCAGTTTGACACTTAAGTAGATTAAGCCTGTGCCATGTAGCCCACATCACTGCTGCTAAAATCACATGTAAAGCAAAACAGTGTTTTTCCCTGCAAACTCTCACCATGCAAATTTCTTGTAAGCCTGTTGTTCTTGCTCCCAAAGAGATGACCGTTCAGTTTTTATATAAATTAATTTATCATTTTCATTAGCAGCATTCGAAGTACAGCCAGTTGAAGAGTAACTGGGAGAGCGAGGGTGATCAGTCCGGTTCTTCACTAACACAACAACTCCTTTTACTGATGAGGTTAAGACCTGTTAAGTACAATCACAATAGTGTTGCCTTTGACCTATATTATGCAATCCTATACAGACAATTTCCCCAGTATTTTACAATATGAAACCTATCATAAACACTAGAGTTATTGCATACACCACTGACACAGCAGAGGAGAATGCAAGTGTTTCAGCCTTGAAACAAAAATCCACAGTGACAGACATAGTACAAAGCAGAAAAAATAATTCAGTCTCACTTTAAACATACAAATGCCTGTTTAGCCCAAGGGGTTTATTTTTTTTTGTAAGCTTTACATGGTAACTAAAACCAAAACGTAGTCAGAAGCATTAAGATTTACCACATTTTACACTTAAATTTTGGTAAGCAATAATACACAAGGCTGGTCCAGATTCCAGGCTCCCAAAACCCATGGTTTTATCATCCACGTGCACAGTCCAAGTGGTTCCACAATACCTGCTCTAAACACAACACACCATTCACTAACCTGCTCCGAGTTGAGCTGTGAAGAACCATCTTGAAATATCATAGTAGTTACAAAAGCCACTGCCTGTTCTGTGGTTGCAAGCAATTCTCTTCTTTCTTCACATCCCAAACTCCTGATATCACAAGGCTGATTTTCAGAAGACTCTGTTTGTCCAGAAGTACAGTTGTATTTTCTTTCATGTGAAGTGTAGGTCTTCACAAGTAATCTTCTTGTTTTCTCTGAACAACACATAGACACATCTTGCTTTCTTTTAAGGGGAGTAGCTATATTCTTTTCACCATCCTTCAGTTTTTTTGCTTCTACTGAAAGACTTCTTTCTCTGTATCCCCATGTTGGCAAGTCTAAATTCTGGCAATAGCTCACTATTTTGGTGTCTTGACAGCAAAGCATTTCATTGGTACATACTGTCCTGTCTATCTGACCAGCAGTAGTTTTAGAGCTTGACGTTGTTTTTAACAGAGCAATTGTGGAATCATTAATCTGGAAAAATTGGAAATTTTTTAGTGAACCAATTATTCAGCTTATTAGGAGAAACAAAAATAAATAGACATGAGTGAATTTAGATAAGCTTTGAAGAAAGTGATATTCTATAAAAAAAAAGTTGAAACTAACTGTCCTGGTTTATTGAGACAATCTTTTGAGTTTGTAATTCTGCAAGAACTACAACACTATTTCATGGGAACAAAGCGATAAGACTTTGTTATAGGTTTCAGCTAATGCAGGTATGAGATGATCAAGGTCTTCAGCAGTCTTGAGAAACAGGCTTAGAGAAGAGACCATTTCTTTCCATCTTTAGCCTCCATATTCAGAGCTTTTTTTGTGACAGCTTACTTCATTAAAGAACTTTGGCAAGGGGCCATAACGGCTACTTTGGAATTGCAAATACACTGAGTCAACTGGATCTCCACCGATTTGTTCAAACCCCTTACAAGATTGCAAGACATAACAAAAACTTCTATAGAAGTCACACTGAAGCAGCATTCAGGGGTATGAATAAGTATTCTATTCTGTTCAATGTACTATGCTCAGAACAGCTTTCCTACTCCAACAGTCACTGGATTCCTTTACAGCAGCATGCTATTAAATAGCATTAAACAAGAAGCTGCACAGTACTGTTATGATTCTGCTCCTTATCCTTTATTTCCTTCAGAAATGTCCTTGCTATGCTACTGGCCCTAGTATTTTCTTACTGTTTATTTTGCTAGTTTCGTCTACAACCTCTTCAGCTAAGAGTCGACTTCATAAACAAGGACTCTGGAACGGCAACTGGCAACCTTTCCAAGATGCCCCAAGCTAAAAGTGTGTTTAATTATTTACAGATAAACAAAGTTCTATCTTGCCTCAACGCTCCTCTTATGTCTTGATCATCAAGAAGTCTTACAGGAGATGGCAAGGTTTTGACTACTGAAGCATATGAAAAAGTGTTATATTATTAGTGATGCATTTCCAAGTTGTTTTTCAAAGTTTAATTGGACTATAGTATTGTAAATTTACACTTGACTTATTCAAATAAGGTAACTATGAAAGAATAGAAATTCTGGTAAGTTCAGCTTTTTGCGTTACATTTTTTAGCTGTCTCCTTCATACTGTTGCTTAGCCATGCTTCTTTTTCCTGGACATTTTAATATTCATTTTAAGTCTCCAATATTCTGTTTTAAATAAATCCCTATACTACCTACAAATGTTTTGTGCTTGGAGGAGACATTTCATTTATTTTATTTTAAAAGCTCCTTCACTTTTATGTTATTTCCTTTTTCAGAATGAAGCATTACTGTAGTGACTTATCTTTTAATGCTTTGGAAAGATCACAGTCCTTGCCAGAC